AATTCTTAAATATTTAATTGAGTTCCAAAATTTTATCAAACATATTTACAAAATTTTACAAATATTATCATGTTTATATTTAATAGTTGTAATTATATTTGAACTATGTTTTCTAGGAGAAAATTACCTTTTCAGCTTCTGAAAGTCAGTTTCTATTATAACTCAGAGGTATTAGTGTATTGATTAGACTATTAATTGGCTAACTCTCAATAACTAACTATCTCATCAGACTAATTTAAATAAAGGTTTAATTAAGGTGCTTGACCAAGTTATATATATATATGAAAATATAGTTCAGACACTCTTAAATCAAATTTAAAATCAGAAATAACAATTTAGCTAGTGTTTGGTTATGGATTTTCAAATATTTTTTGATAAATATTATTTAGGTGAAATTTTACCCTGTATTTGGCTATAGTATTTGAAAAATTCATTTCACATTTTTTTAAAAAATGAGTTATATCCATAACTTTTAAAAACTATTAAACTAATCATAAGTGAGTATACAAGTCAATTAGATCTTTGTTGCAACAAAAAACAAATAGTGTCCATGATACTGGAGCAAACGTGTTAGTTTGGAGTGAGTGCAAATCATTCATACATCGTGACAAAACACATGGAGAGAATACTATAGAGGGTGTTTTTCTAAAAAATAATATAAAATTTTAATTTTTAAAAGATCCTAAATAATGAGTATGACACAAATACTAAAAAAGACTAGTATTTAAGAATTTACCAAAATATTTATTAAATAATGACAAATCTATGAATAAATACTATTTGTCTAAAAATTTTCAAATTTTACTTAAAAAAATCTATGACTAAACAGGTACTTCGCGTAAGTTTACACATGTATCACCTTTGTCTTTGTGGAATAAAGTGGCCGATTGGGTATTTAAGGCTCAGCCATATAAGATGTTATAAAAGGAATATTTAACTTAGAAATATTAACTTTTTTAAAAATTTAACACAAACAATTTAAAAGTAAATAAAATTGTTAAAAATTATTATCTTTAAATATGTATATCAAAATGCTTTCCAACTTGTGCTTTGCATATGTTATTAAAATTACTTAAAAGAAAGTAACACGAATAAATTAATATGAAAAAAAAAATATAAATTTTTACTATATAAGATAAGCATGGTTTATTAGACTAAACTTTAGTATATCAAACATGGATGCTTTCAAAAGATTTGTCAAAAGTTGCTTCATTAAGCGAACCTTTTTTTTTTTTTGTATATTCAAAGATAGTTTTAAGTCATTGGCATTTTGTATTTGTTCTTATTTATGCATTAAAATAATTTGTTAGTACCTTCTAAAGGCTCCACTGAATACTTGTAAAATAACAGACTGGGTTTTCATTTGTCAAGTCAAATGCCTCACCAGTCTTCATCTTCCTTATTTCCTATCTGTTTCTCTTGCGCATATTATCAAACAGCTTGTGCCAATTACCCAAAACTGCTGTTGAATCCCTAAACCCCAGCCAACCGATGGCTCGTTTCAGATTTCTCCTTTCGCTAGTGTTGATTCTGATTCCACTTCTTCTTCCGCTCCTTGATGCTGCTGTAGCTGAAGATGATCTCAAGTGTTTAGAAGGATTCAAGAAGTCTTTGGAAGATCCAGATGGGAATCTGAATTCATGGAACTTTAAAAATACTACTATCGGAGCTATCTGTAAATTTGTGGGTGTTACTTGCTGGAATGACAACGAAAATCGCATCAACAGCCTCTCTCTTCCGGCTATGAACCTCGGAGGGAAGGTTACGGAGCCTGTACAGTATTGTGCCAGCTTGACAGCCCTTGATCTCTCTGGTAATAGCTTTTCTGGTCCAATTCCTTCTCAAATTTGTACTTGGCTACCTTATTTGGTAACCCTAGACTTGTCCGGTAACGATTACTCCGGTCCTATCCCTGCCGATCTTGCTAAATGCACTTTTTTGAATAAATTATCGCTCAGTGATAACAAGCTTACTGGAAATATTCCTCCTGAATTTTCTAGTTTAAGTAGGCTTAATAGTTTTTCTGTGGCAAATAATCAACTCTCCGGTAGAATCCCCGCAGCTTTCGATTCGTCTAAGTTTAATTTTGAAGGAAATAGTCTCTGTGGTGGACCTTTGGGGAAATGTGGAGGTCTAAGTAAGAAAAGCTTAGCTATTATTATTGCAGCAGGAGTCTTTGGTGCTGCTGCTTCTATGTTGTTGGCTTTTGGTGCGTGGTATTGGTTTTTTACCAAAGCTGGAAAGAGGAAGAGAGGGTATGGAGTTGGGAGAGACGACTCTGATAGTTGGGCTGATAAACTGAGGGCTCACAAGCTCACTCAGGTTATGTTGTTCCAGAAACCGCTCGTCAAGGTTAAATTAGCTGATTTGTTGATTGCCACAAATGGTTTCAGGACGGACAATGTTATCAACTCAACTAGAATGGGTACTACTTATAATGCTGTGTTACGTGATGGTTCTGCACTTGCCATTAAGCGGCTTAATACTTGCAAACTGAGCGAGAAACACTTTCGTGATGAGATGTATAGGCTAGGACAACTTAGACATCCTAATCTGGTGCCACTGTTGGGGTTTTGTGTTGTTGAAGAGGAGAAGCTTTTGGTTTATAAACACCTGTCAAATGGTACTTTGCACTCATTCTTAAATGGGAATGCAAGTGAACTGGATTGGCCTACTCGCTTTAGAATTGGTTTGGGTGCTGCTAGGGGCCTTGCTTGGTTACATCATGGTGTTCACCCACCTATCTTGCACCAAAACATATGTTCTAATGTTATTTTCCTCGATGAAGACTTTGATGCTAGAGTAATGGATTTTGGGCTGGCAAGATTGATGACGTCAGATGCAAAAGAGTCTAGTTATGTGAATGGGGAGTTGGGTGAATTTGGCTATGTAGCTCCAGAATACTCTAGCACAATGGTGCCTTCACTGAAAGGGGATGCTTATAGTTTTGGGGTAGTGCTTTTGGAGTTGGCTACTGGACAAAAACCTCTTGAAGTTACTGCTGGTGAAGAGGGATTCAAGGGTAATTTGGTAGACTGGATGAATCAGCTCTCTGCTTCGGGTCGCATTAAAGATGCAATTGACCAGAACATGCGTGGGAAGGGGCATGATGAAGAGATTGTGCAGTTCCTAAAAGTTGCTTGTAATTCTGTGGTTTCTCGGCCCAATGATAGGTGGTCTATGTATCAGGTTTATGAAGCACTTAAGAGCATGGCTGAAAAACAGGGTTTCTCTGAACAGTATGACGAATTCCCGTTACTATTTGGCAAAGAAGGTACTATTAGAAGCCCTGTTTGAAGCCGGAATTGCGAAATTATTACTAAATGTTCACTCCAAATGAACATGATGCATCCTGTTGTAAGTTTTCAGTTCCTATTGGTGTAAGTGGCATGGCACTGTTTTGATTGGCTCAGAAGTACACCCTTTAAATATTTCTGTATTATATTTGCAAAATGCACAAATCATTCTCAAGTATTTGCTTGCTTGATATTTGTAGTATAGGAAGCTGATAATTATTGTTCATGTTTGTGATTACCGTTGCCTATAGCATTAGATGTTATGTATTCAAAGGATTCTCAACTGAACGTCTCTTTTATTGGAAACTGGTCTATATTACTATTTACTGATTGTCTAGCTCTTGTTTGGAAGCCAATGGGGACGTTTGCTTATTAGTGTTGCATGTATGCCTTTTTTCATTTGTTTGTTGATCACAACTAGTTCTGTATGCCAAAATATCGGATCAAACTGACTGAAAGATCTGACATCTGATTGGTTTGATTTGAGAAAAAAATCAAGCCAAACTTTGACGAATAAATGTGTTGTATGTGTATATGTTTATTAGCAAATATCATATAGCTTCTCTCTTGAAAATTTTCAACATCCTTGTTTGGAATGTGTAATATATTCATTATAGATGATCCATTTCGGTCTGTTTGAATGTTTCATTATATGGTCACTTTGTTATCATGTATTTGTTGAAATGAATCAACATTCCTTGTTCTTCCATTTTACAAGCCAAGTTTCATCAAGGTCTCAAGTTGAGTTTTGTATTCTCTATTGATGTTTATATTAGTCATTTCTTAGTGTTTAACTATTCAAAATCTGTCTAACGTAAAAGCATATATGAATATGACGTATGGTGTTAGCCAGTAAAAGCATCGATCTGCCGAGGAATAAGCTATGAGGAAACTGCAGTCACTTTCAGAATTCCTGGTTTTTTCGTCTTGACACCTCCATTTCGGCTTTTCGAGGGACGATTAACATGCACCACATCTAGGTAAGCAACATCTATAAGAAGATATCTCGAATAGAATTGAGTTGGTCATTGGACATCCCACGTCCATAGTGATTTCCAAGGTAGAGCAGCTTTCTTTTGTTTGACTGATGGCCTGGGTTCCACAAACACAAATCACACGTGTTACAAAATACCTTTCAGCTCTAGCTTCCATTAAATTTATTGACCAAATGGCATCCACGCTATCAAGGAAGTTTATACATAGAAACTTATTCCATCAATATTTGTGTTTTTCCACATAGTGTAGGAGAGAGCAGAAAAGGGACAACCAATTAGGTTATTAAAATTGACCTCGTGGATTTGAAATGTGGATTATGGACTCTTTAGGGGTCGTTTGGTATCTAAACAAGTTCAACACATGCATGTGCAATCGCTCTATGAGAGTCTGCCTGAGTCGTGCAGCCCCAAGTAACACCTAATTTAGTGTAGCAACTGGGTTCAGCCTTCTTTTTGCTCTAAGAGTCTCTAGTTTGTTACCTTCTATGATTGATCTTTCAGATTTAAACATTGAGGATAAAATTTAATAATTGCAGTTTAGTAGACATCATACCTGGCTAAAAAGGTAAAACTTTTGTCTCGTGCAGGAGCTTTGCTTTATAAAGTTACTTTTGTCTTGAAGAAAAATTAATTTCATTCAAACCAGAAAGCAAAAAGCTTTCTCCTTTGAACCGTCAAAAGTTCCTACATAATAAATCATTCAACAAAATTCCCCTAAAGTAATTAATATTTCTGTAGATCTTTTACAGTGTCGCAATCATAGATTAAATAAGACTACCTAACATAATAAAGAAGAAAAAAAGTGAATAGCTTTTACATTCAAATCACATCCTTCTTTCATCAGTCATGAAAAGTTTTGCTGCCAATCTACTTTCTCATTGCTTAGAATTCCATTCATGTGATCTCAAACATCATCGGTACATCAGAAATATGAAACAATATATAAATTTGAAAACTACATAAAGGGTATATATACTAGTTAATAATTCAAAATATTTAAGAAAATCGTACTCGTTTTCACTGCAATGTCTGTTGTAAATATGATACTTTCAAGTGTCTTCCTAAACTCAAGCTCGACTGGGTGGCACTCTATACTCTCCTACTTTCCTGAAATCCAAGTAACATCAACTTTATTAACTATAAAGTTTGTTCTCTTGAAAATAAAAAAGATGGTATGGTATATGTAGTTATAAATATACCTGTTGTGAATGGCATTTGGTCCAGTAGGCACTCTTCTTTTGCTCACATAATTGATATTTGGATTTCTTTGAAGATATTGCTTCTCAGCTTCTATTAGTACATGTTTGATTGCTCCAGCACTTACATTTTTGGTGGCAGCCCTAGTTCCCTTCCCTGCTTTCCTGAATAACAAGTATATAATTACATACAAGAATTTGACTTATATACACTCGCACAGTCCCATTTTAAGTCATCTAAATGTAACTATACACTTTTTAACGCTATCAGATCATTGAAAAGATTATTACATGCAATTGTTGTCTATAGTATATGTATGAGATTACAAGACTTGGAGAATAAGGGAGATCACATCGTGTTTACCTGTTTGGAGTGCCATTGATTTGAATTCTTTTGTTCACATAATTGAGATCCTTTTGAAGATCATACCTTTCTGTTTGTGTTATCTTCCAAAAATCTAAACGATCGATCGTCGCAGCAGTGATTTTTTTAGTTTCCTGATTGACTAAAATACCATGCAAAATGAGCCACAGTAAACTAAGTAAAACAAGAGCACCCAAGAAAGCCTTCATACCACCCATATATAACTTTATGTTTTTCCTTTTTTTGGTACTAATTGGATATTTGACCTGCAATACCCATTTGTTATCTAGCTGCAGATTACTTCATTAAGTAATTTGGAGCAGTTTATACTTTATAGACATGATAACAGAAGAATATATAGGCATATTTTATGTTGCTCTAATCCCTTTTTATGAAAGACTTCTCTTGGACTTCGGTTGAATATTTAATATGGGAAAAGTTAAAGTTTGTTAATGTCCAAAAGCCAAAAAAGGAGGGAGGGGGGCGGGGTGATAAAGGCGAATTCAGAATTTAAATAGGTTTTCGCGTTGAGCCCTTTGAATCTCTTAAACGAAAAAGGGCCAAAAATACTTCTAAAATATGCGAAAATGTTTAAATAATATACCCCTATACTATGCAGAAATGTTTAAAAA